CAGCCTGCCATTGGAGGTGTTCAATGTAGGTGCTTGAACCACCTTCAAGAGTAAATTGGATGCTTATCTTGCTATGATCCTATGACCCCAGCTGACTTCCTGCCCTTCAGGCGTGGGGCTGGACTTGATGATTTTCCGAGGTCCCTTCCAGCCTTAATGTCTATGAAATCTATGAAATAGGATGAAAGGTACTGAAAGCACCTGCAGCGCAAATCAAGAAGCCAGTGGAGTCTAGAAGAGAAAGACCTAACCAGCAACTGCAGTATCACTAAGACCACTAGAAGGCTGCTCCCCATTTACTGCTATTACTTTCCCACCCCCAGCCCCACTCCCTTCCATCCTAGAACTCTCTCCCACAACTCGCGAGCAGGGAGGGTCTTCACTTCATTCCCATTCTTCACCCTTCTTCTCAAAACAGCACCCACTGTACTCTTCTGTCCTTGCAGTTTACATGTTGGAAGTACTAGCAGGTTGTTTTGATAATCTGTCCCCTGCAGCCAGAAGCCAAACTCTCCTTCACTCCAAAAGCTAACACTCCTTGGACCATAAGGGTATGATCAGATTTCTGCCTACAGGGCTGCTGAGCCAAAAAGTTCACTTGACACAACAGAGAGAGACACAGTGCCCTTTTTCCCAATTTTTCTCATTTAATTACCATTATTGCACCAGTACATCTTATGCTTTATATACATATATTTTTAAATTTTTGCTTCAGATTCTCAAATACATAATATATTATCTCCAGAATACTAAGAACACAGAGGAAGAGGCTCCTGGTTAGTTGTAACTGACACTATTAAACTTCCTTAGTTTTTGGAAACTGATACATCATTGAAATGTCAGGACCTGCCCCGATATGGTAGATTTGAGCCAGCCACCAGGGCCTGTGATCTGGCTTAGACTGCAGGGAAGGGGACGATTAGTAGTTTACACCCCCAACACATATAGCAAATTCACAAGACATGAAGCTTCCCAGGCACGGAACCCAAAGAAAGCACAGAAGATTTGGGAACAATGCTTGACAGGGGAAAAACACCTGGGGAAGCTGGAATGGGTGGCTATTCAAAATATATCCATCCATAAAAGCAATCTAGTCCCCATTTCCACAAGTGGAACTGCAGTGGTGCTAGGCTTATGTAGCACAGGCTTGCCTTCCCAGAGCGCTGGGCAGTTTGCTTCCCAATGCTTGCAGTACCAATGAGTCTGCAAAGAAGTAAAGAGTGGACAGTTGCAACAAAGGAGAGGAAGTGTGAGTGGCTGATTAGGTACTCCCCTTGGAGAGCTACAGCCAAGAGATAAGAGGTGGAAGGTGGACATCATGTGCAGTTGGACATGCTTCCAGAATGCATAAGTGTTATCTATGAGTGTTAGGAACAGGGAGGTGTCTCCCTGCACAGTACAAGTCTAGTGTTCTAGCAAGGGGGTCATCACCTACAGGGACTTCACTAACATGGACATTGTGGAGGCAAGCACTAAGGGCTGCACTGCCCCATCAAGATGCCTGTAGTAGCAGGCAGGCTACTACGCCTACTCATGCAACTAGGGGATGGAGACTGGGGGGAAAGACAGCAATACAAGGGACTCAAGGAACCTCACCTCAAGAGCAAGGAAGAACATTCAAGAGCTATCCGCCTCAGATTGCATACCCCACTGAAAAACTGGAGGGACAAGGTTGGGGAGGGAGGCGATCCAGGGCACATTAAAACACAGGCACAGCAACTGAGTCCATTAAGCAGAAACATTTAAAAGAAAAAAAGAAAAATCACATTTTCAGGGAGGGGCAGGAGAGAAGAGATGCAGCTCTGAAAGTATCTATTCGGCAATTAAACCCTCCCTATACTGAGCATTTATAAGGGTAGGGGGTCAGGAGGGAGAGAGGGCATGTACCACAGCAGGAGGCACATAGGTGACACAGGGAACTATACTGCATCCTGATTTCATCTCTCAACTAGCTCTGCCAGATTCAGATGCCTCCCAAGACACATGCAGCAGGAGGGGTGGTGTGTACAGGAAGGCACTGTGCTGACAGAGATGGGAAATGTCCAGCAACTGGCTACAGCATGAGAGAAGCTGCTCCAGTCTGAAAAGACAGCATCTCTTTCCTTTAAGGATATTTCCAGTTAAAACAGCTCAATGGCTTTTTAAGGATTCCAGTGGGAGGACAAGGATGGCAGAGTTTGACGGGGGCACAAGGGAAGGCATGGACATCAAACTCAAGAGAACCTCACACAAGCTGAACAAGAGAACATTGTGAGGACACAAGAGATCTGGGGCTGTGGCATGCAAGGGGCAGGCCAGGACATGGAGCTAAGCATGACATGTCCTTTCATAAAGAGATATGGATGCCCATCTAGAACAATACCTACATGTCAAAGGAGAGCGAACAGTGCAGGAGCAGGAGGGGATACAGCTAGCTCCCTATTAAAAACCCCATTCTACAGGACAGAGAAGTAGACAAAGTGCTGGTCTTGGGCCATTACCATTTGAAGGCTGCAGCTGGCCAAACCCACAAGTGTGCTATACTCCAGAGCCTGCCACACTTAAAGCCAAGCTGCAGTGACTTGGTCAGTGCTGTAGATTTCTGGGGCAGAGGAGCTGGCCCAAGCTGGGGGAGCTGAAGAACAGAAAAATCCAAATGACACATCCATTACCCCACAAGCGATAGCATGCAGCACTCAGACAGGTGAGAGGACACCAACTCCTCCCTCCCTCTTGCTTTTGTGCACAATTTAGAGATGGTCCCTCAGGGCTTGGTGATCTTTGAGGAGCCAGACGTCCATTTTGATTGAAACGGAAACTTTAAAAAAAACAGGTAGCAGGGAGGGGAGGATGGAAAATAGGATTGTCTGGAATTGTTTTTTTTTTTTTTTGATTGAAGACTCAAGAGGTCTGGACCCCTTCCCATTCACTTGGTGCTTCCAGCTCCTCATGGTCAAAAAAAAATCAGCCTGCTTCAACTCTGCAACACTGGCCATTCAGAACTGGACCCAGTTGGACTGCTGAGGGGCTTGGCTGGAAACAGTGCTAAAAGAAAGACAGGAGTCAGAGGCGGTGATCCTAGTTGAAGGATTGTAAACCAGCCCACTCAACCCCTCACTCCTGCCCTGTAACCCCTGACTATGCCAGCCCTAAACCCTCCAAACAGCTTTACCAGTGCCCCTCACTGCTGCCCCACAGTTCTCCCTTCACACCTACTCTGTCCCCTTCTCAGTAATCACCTGGCTGCAGTGCTGAAGTCCCCCCAGAGGTCTGTGGTGGCTGGAACAGCTGAAGGTGCTGGTGCCTTAGAAACTGATGCAGGAGAGTCCAAATCTAACAGAATATCTGAGAGCAGAGAGGAACATAGAGATGTTTGAGGTCACTGGCAAGAGGCAAAGTCCTGGATTACTCAAAGCCTCGCACCTTACTGGAGAGGTCTTTCTTCTGGAGCTATTGCAAGATTAAAATACACTGATTTATTGGGCAGCTGCCCACCCACCCTTTTGAAGGTGGGCTGTGAAAGAAACAGCAGCTCCACTTGCTGGGTCCCCAGAAAACCACCAGTTGCGTTCTGTTGCAGACCCCATGCTCATGACCCACCATCCCAGCCAGCAGACTTGGAGGTCACACCAGCTGCTAGACTGGAATGGAGAAGCACTGATCACAGCTGGATTCCAGCAGCCACATAGGCAGGAGGACTCTGCTAAAGGCATCCAGAACCTAAACATCATAACCTGAAGAGCCATTATATTCTTCCTCCTTGACACAGAGCTGTACATGCAACTTTTGAAAGGAGCCTCCTTCTCCTGCAGTCTTCCTGCCACCTGCTATAGCCTTGGTACACCCACTCTGTGCTGCTCCTTGCACCTAAGCAGTCCCCACTCCAAAGCCTCCCAAGATGCCTGTATAGCTGTAACCTACAGCCACTGATCCAAAACTTCCTGTGGAGGAGAGCAAGTGATCTAGTGATTAAAGGTGCCAGATGTCTGAGAGACCCAGCCTTGCCAGCAAATTCACTGCATCACATTGGCCAAGTCACTGGACTTATCCTTAGCTCTGGCGGAAAGAGACTGAGGTCATCACAATGCCTTCCTAATTCACTTGGAAGCCAACAATTAGACTTATTACCCAAGATGCTCATATCAAAAGCACATGGGTTTTTAGATATCACAGGTCTGAATTGTGTGGCTTGAGTCCAAATTAAAAGCACCAGCTCCACAAAGCAGGGACCATGTTTGCCCTTACATCTGTGCAGTACCAAGCACACCAATGAAGCTTAACAGACAGATTCCCCTCCTCCACCAGGGCTGGAGAATCCTCCCATCCATTCAGCATTTACCTGCACTGCTCACATTACTGGATTTCAGCACTGGTGGTGGTGTGACATGGTTGGAAATGGCTGTTGAGGAAGGGGGAGGGACGGGAGGAGCTGTGATTTTGCCCCCTGGAGGGGGAGGGAGTAGACTAAGCCCCCCTGATCCAGCCACACGTGGCTTGGGTGGCCCTCCCTTTTTGGTCATGTTCTGTAAAAAAAAAAAAAGGACAAAACACACAAAGATGAGGAGTCATCTGTGGCAGGAGCCAGCAATAATTGTAAAAAGAACAGCCAACACAGCACTAGTTTAGTCGGGCAGAACCTTACCCCAATGCTCAGCTTGATGGTCTGTCCTTCTTTGAACCCCAGGTCCAGCTTGGGGCGTGTATCTGCTTCCTGGGACTCCTTGGAGATTTCAGACTCCTGTTTCACCCACCTAGAGGAGAGGAACAGCTGAGGCCCCACAACAAAGGAAAAGAAGATGGCTACCAAGGGGCAATTTGGGGACCGGTGGGGGCTCCCCAACTGGCCAACACTAGCACTGCCAATGCCAGGCACCACCACCCTTACTCTACAATGTGGCATCAGAGATTCAAAGCCAGCGTGTCTCCCAGAAGAACAGTACCTTCTGCATAGTGATGCAATGCAGTCACCCCATCATGCCTCACTGCATCTCCATCTGAAAGTCTTGCATATCTCAAAGAGGGGTGTGCGTCTAACACTTTCAGGTGCTAGAGACAACAGAAGCTCCATCACCCTGCTTATAACTTTGAGCTCACACTGTGACTGGCAGCCCATTCCCTCCCCACCACATACCCCAAGTGCCAATAATAAAAGAAGTGAGGCTGCACAAGAGTCCAAGGAAACTGGTCTGGGTGCCACATGTGAGCACCATCAGTAGACCATGGGGCAGAGTGGGGCAGGCAAGACTCACTTGAAGTGATCCTGCAGGGAGACATTGAAGTCAAAAGCATCTCCCCGATCTGTGAAGCCGATGCCAATGAACGCACTTCGCCCTGGTGGCGAGACAGATGGGTAGTCAACAAGAGAAGGGAGCAGAGAGGGACCACCACATTCCTTAGCAAGTTCTCCCCTAAACACCACAGCATGTGGGACATGAGACAGTTGCCATATGCTTTCCAGTAGCCATCTAAGCTTTCATTCCCCCATAAACCCGGGGGTTCTCTCTGATAGCTGCAATGCCCATACTACCCTCAGTAGCATCTCCTGTGATCTCTTCAAGCCTGGGTAGGCAGCCCTGCAAGTTGCTTACTACTCCTAGTCCAATAGACATAGTCAAGTCATCCTTCAGACTGCCCAGTCTACTGCGACCCTTTAAGGGTCATCTGTGGACATGCCACCCCTTCTTACCTCAAACCCAGCCCTCAGAGAGCAGCCTACCACGTGGGTCTCTTAGGCAATAAGCCCTAGTTTGACTTCCTCAGCTTCTGGTTCCTACACTCTGCTCTATAGCATGCTCCTCACCACACCACGTTTCTACTTACCAGTCCCATCCTGAATCCGTATGACAAAGTATCGGCTGGAATCGGTCACTGTTTCCACAGCAATGCCAGGATACTGGTCTATGGGAGCCTGAGCAAACAACTCCCCTGATGGACCAAGAGAGAGACGAGGAGGTGAGAAGAATGGCCCACTGGGACTTTCACAGAAAAGGACAAAACAGGCACGTCCCTCAGCACGGGGACCATAGAACCACCTTCCCATCTTACCTGAGACTTTATCTTCTAGCTTTATATATGCTGTTTTGCCTTTAGAAGTGATGCGGAGCCGCCCTGTCCAGTCTGGATGGTCCAGTTTCCAGTCAGATGCCCTGGAGGGGAAGAGAGAAGGAGCAGCAACTCATGTTCACTGACACCACCTCAACTCTACCTGGCAGTCCCCAGACATCCCAGGGCCAAACAACGCTGCTGCTTCTCAGTCCCGGCCACAGCAATCCCTAGCTCCCTTATTCTACATCTCTTCTGAAGAGAGGCTCAGGTACCAAAACCAACCTCGCCCAACTGTGATTAGCTCCTCAGAGGTGGCTCCAAGAGCCCAACCTCGCATGCACACTCCCCAGGCAGACAGAAACCAAACAAAAACAGCAGCAAGGCAGACAGCATTAAACAGAGGTGCACCAGGACACTAGGGGTGGGAAGCAGAGTGAGAGAAAGAAGGCAGGAGTCCAAAAAGACATTCAGAGCAGTAGAGCTCTTTAGCTGAGAAAGGTGAGGGCCAACAGAAATTATACTGGTTTAGAAAAGGAAGCATCTCTGGCACTGCTATTTCTCTTCCTCTTATAGCACAGCCCTCTGGAGTTAGAAGCAGCAAGTTTATAATGGGCAAATTACACATTACACTTCACACACACTTGACACGTGGAAGGCTGCTGCAGAACGTTACTGAAGCAAACTGACTAAGGGATTTCAAAAACAGATTCATGTGACCAAGAGCAACATCTGCAGCAAAGCTGGGGAAAAAAAGAACTAGGCCCATCGACATCTGTGCGTCAAAACATAAACCGATCAGCGCCGTCACCGTAAAAACATCATCAGGGAAATCCACACTTTTATCCTGTGACCCTAGCCTTCTTGTAGCTGAAGTTTCACACAGAGAAGATCTGCTAACCTCTGGGCCAGCAAACCTGCCCTGGGATTGAAGGGTCTCAATGACTTTCCTCCAGCTCCTGCACCACCATTGAGCAGTTCTGGGGGCTGAGCTCGACCATTAGTTACAGTCCTGTAATCCCACAGCCTCTAGGAGAAGCACAGGGTAACCCAGGGTAGAAGTCAGCCCTGAACTGGAAGAGGCACACTCATTTACAGAGTCTAACACCCTGAATAGGATTAACTAGTTAAATCTCCACAGTGCTGTAACATGGAGCAGAATATCCCCGCAGCAGGAAGGGTGTGAGGCAGCTGCTGGCCCTTGCTGCGGAAAACACCCAGCGCTCTCCCGTGCAGCTGAAGTTGCAAGCGGGGCTTAAACCCTCCAGAAATCAGGCCTCTCAGCACCCTTCCTGGAGGCCACAGAGGGATCAAAGGGAGAGCAGGATCCTGGATGCCAACCCATCGCCTCCCTGCCTGAGGGGCAGGGGGGAGGGTTGTTCATGCAGAACAAACTGCACTGACCCAGGCAGGAGCCCCGGGAACAGAGCCCAGCTCCGCTTCCATCTCTGCGGGAACAATGGGAGGAAAAGCACATCTCTGTCAGCGAAGAGAGCAGCGCCCGCATGACTCAGAGTGCACAGGCAGGCTGCAGCAGGGCGAGGAGATGCCGTGTCCATCAAGCCAGCATTCCCCCCTTGCCACCCCAGAAGCTCACCCATCCCCACGCAGGGCAGCAGCTGCCAGGGAAGACGGCCACAGCCCCAAGCCCAGCTGGGAGCAAGCAGGAGAGGCCAGCGGAGGGGTGGCACTGCCCGGATGGGGGCTCCAAGGAGGGGCAGAGGAGGCAACTCTGCTCCACCCCCCAATGTGCGTTGACCCCAGGCAAAGCCAGGCTGCCAGAGGGGCAGACCCCCACACCCCTCGGTTTGCCCCTGCAAGCACCAGCCTTGCCCGCTCCCCCGCAGGCCCCGGGGCGCGGCGGGGTGGGAGTTGCCCCCGGCGGGGCGGCAAGCACAGGGCAGCCCCAGCCCGGGACGCGGGAGCAGACAGCCGGGGGCGCGGGGGCGGTACCGGTAGCCGCGGTTGGAGGCCCGCGGCGGGATCCGGTAGACGTTGACATCGGGCTTCACACACAGCACGGACTCGTACTCCACCTCGGCCGCCGCCATCTCGGATCTGCGCCCCGCAGACCCCGGCACCGGCAGGCGGGCGGGCTCATAACCGGGACGCTTCCGACCACCATCTTTGGGGCGGGCAAGAGCTGGCAGCGGCCATGTTGGGCTCGGGCCCGCTTGAAGCCGTGGTGGGCGGCATCTTGGATGCGGGCAGCTTCGTTCCGAGCCTCGAGACGGCCATATTCGAGGCCGGACCCGGCGAGCGGCGCGACTCCGCGGCCGCCATTTTACACCCTGGCAACGCCGCGACCTCGTGCTGAAGAGGCAGTGGCGGGGGCCGTTTTGGATCCTGGCACCGCACGATGGGTGTGTGGGGAGCCATGTTGGAAGCGGGCAGAGGGACGGGAAGCCATCTTGGTTGTGGGCAAAGCTCCCTGAGGGGCAGCAGGATGGAGCTAATGAAGAAGCCAGCGGACGGGCGTGTGCCGAGCTGCAGGGCGCTGGGGGCGGGGCCGTCTGGCAAGCAGCATGTGGTCATGTGTATGTGGAGACAAGTGCAGCACATGGCGGGTTCCTGTGTATCTGCTGTCTGGGGTCACCGACTGGTGGGGCAGGGTGATGTAGGGCAGGCAGAGGGGTGTATGAATCCTGTTCAACTGGTGGGGCCTGGCAGCACCGCAGGGGAAGGGGCCTCTCCCCTTCCCCTCACCTCTTGTAGTGGGAAGGGAGACGCACCCCCCAAGCTGCAGCCTGTCTGTGACCCCCACCCCCACACTTCAAAACCCCTGCTCCGAAAACTATCCTGATGATCCCCGGGGAAGGAGCCTGAGTTGGTAATAGGGAGATTGTCCTTCAGTTGAGGAGGTAAGCAGTTCCTCAGGCACAGGCATAGGGTCTGCAGGAGTTGCTTACTGCTCCACAGTAAAACCCCTTGTGTTGTTCTGCTCATTCATATATGCCTGGTTTGTTGAACCCAGTGATCAGGCTCAGAGGTCAAGATAACAGACCTTATGATGACAGGCTGTGAGCCATGGGACTCTTCAGCCTGGAAAAGCGCAGGCTCAGGGGTGATCTGATGGCCACCTATAAGTTTATTAGGGGTGACCACCAGGATCTGGGGGAAAGTCTGTTCACTAGAGCGCCCCAAGGGAAGACAAGATCGAACAGTCACAAACTCCTCCGTGACCGTCTATGAAATCACTACAAGCTCCCCACACAGCTCTGGCAGTGCCCCTTACTCTTGCCCTCCCTGCTGTCCCACTCCAGGGCTCCCCACACAGCTCCTGCTTGCCCCTTAACTTTTGTCAACACCACGCTCCACAGCCTTGTGGACCCTTGTCTACAGCCCCCTCCAAAGCACTGGCACCCTACCGCATGCCTGCTGAATGTCTTCCTTTTTGAAGCAACCATGCCCACCTCCGCTGCTCATTGCAGAATGGAAAATGTTGTCCCTAAAAACACTTAAATTAATTTCCTTCTTGAACTACATGGAAAAAAGAAGTAGTGGCTTTTATGGTCACTTCAGCTAGCTAGCATATTAGTTCTCATATACCTCAGTTGTCTAAACAACGTATCACTTGATTGTCAGGGAAGGGAGGGAACTGGTATCTGCAGCAACAGCTGGAGAAATGTGGGCTAGATAAAACTACTACAAGGTGGATAGATAACTGTATCAATAGCCTTAAGCAAAGGGTAATTTTTAATGGGTCTATGTCAAGCTGGTAGGAGCTTTCGAGCAGAGTCCCACAGGGGTCTGTCCTGGGCCCAGTGCTGTTCAACAAGTTTATTAATGAACTAGATGCTGACAAGGAAAGCTTCTTGAGCAACTTGGCTGACGACACAAAACTGGGAAGGATTGAGAACATGTTGGAGGATGCAAGTGCAATTCAGAAGGATCTCAACAGATTAGAAATTTGGGCTAGAGTTTCATAGTTCATAGTTTCTAGGGTCGGAAGGGACCTGAGTAGATCATCTAGTCCAACCCCCTGCCA